AATGAAAGGTCTCGATGAGTATAATGTCAGGATGAGCTTATATCTTAAAAATTGTCAATAATTCTCAAAATACAAGGTCATTTCTTAATTATGTATCTAGAGAAACCTAAATACCTATCATAATAAATTATCACTCGAAAAAAATACTCGTTTTACATTTAGCATTAATTTTTAATTTAAAATATATAAACTGTACATTTATTTATCAGTAATCATTATTTATACATATACATATATAATGTGATCCAGATTTTGTTTTTATTTTTTTTTTTTTCATATATATAAGGTATAAAAATATACATTAGAATACCTTATATATATGACACTTTATCCATAGAATATAACTATAACTATAACTAGGTAATAATAATAATAATAATAATAATAATAATAATAATAATAATAATATTAATAATGAACATAAATTAAAAATATTATACTAATACACCTGGCAGTTAACTAAAAATACTTTTACAAATCGTATTAAAACAATTAACATTACCTCCAATTAAAAAAAACAATTTTATTTTTCCTTTTTTTAAAAACCAACTTGTAACTCATCAACAGTAAAAAAAAATAATAATAATAATCGCATTGAAATTAAAACTAAATAATATCATAAAAATAATTTGATTAATTTAAAAAAAAAATTCTTATTAATTTGTTCGTTAGTTAACCATTTTTAATTTTTACTCAGTCTACGAACGGCCTCAAAAAATTTTAATTATTTTGTTTTATAATAATAATTAATAATCAATAATAATAACTAATATTTATCATTAATCTTAAAAAATATTTGTATAAAAACATTAAAAACAAACAAAACAAAACAATTAATTAAATTTCCTTTGGAAGACTATAAAATAAATCAAACTATTAATTATTTGTTCATATAAATTATAAAATTAAAAAATAATTATCATTAGATATATTGATCCTTTTATTATTATAATAATAATAATTTTATTTTGTTTTTGTTTTTATTTTTTTTTTATTCCCTGATATTCTTAATTGTAAATTATAAGCCGGAGTAACACTTGTACTTATATTTATTTATTGAATTTTATTATTTAATTTTTTTTTTAATTATTTTTTTGTTGCTCCGTCACTAATTTAAAACATCTTCTAGCTATACTTGATTACAATAAAAATTTTTACAGGAATTATCCTGCCTGTACATTTTATTTACCTCATTGTTACGTTTGTCGGCAATTTTTTTTTTTTGTGTTTTTTTTTTTATGATAACACTTTTACCATAAAAACAATAAAAATTGTCATTTTATTTATTATTATTATTATTATTATAAAATAATTAAATAATAAAATGGGTCGGTTTTAGTTTTTTTTTTTTTAATACTTTAAGAAATATTTTCGCAACGCAATCGTTTTTATTAACCTTCGACAATATTAGAGCAATAATAATTATTATTATTATTAATAATTATGTTTATTATTGTTGTTTTTATTTATACTCTTGTGAGGTTGTCGAAGGGAAAA